CGATGAAGAATTGGTTTATGCCTAGCGTGCGCATATCGAGCTATGGATGCATGCGGGAAGTGTGGAGCACTAGCGAAGCGTTGGAGTCGCTCGAGTAGCCCAGATTCTCTTAACGGGCGGCAGAAAAATTATAAATGTTCACTGGTTTGTTACCAACGCGCCTCAGTCGTTAATTAACTCTGAAAGAAACTGAATTTTGAGGAGACCTTGCTATAGTTGTTTTGTGAGTTGTGCTAAAATTTATGTCTTGGTAAAAGCTGTTTTGTTATTGTTGACGATAAAATTTTCCCGCCTCGAATTGTTCTGTTATAACGAAAGTCCATAAATTTTCGCCATTTCTGTAAAATTGTTCTGTTTTTAAAAGGATAACTAAACGTCAGTAAAAAAAATGATTTTCCTCGATATAGTCCAATTTGAAGTCTTTTCGAGCTGAGTGTCAATCTTTGCGCCATAATTTTCTAACACTCTGATCTGGCTCTTGTAATAAATTTGCGAAACATTTTCATCGATTTTGCTGTCAGTTTGAGTGGCTAGAAGCTTCATTCCAAAATGCTAGATTACTAGAGACTTTGATGAAAGTAAGAGACAAAAATCCGAGTTTAATAAACACAACTGAACACGTCACGGCCCGGGCGTACAGAGAGAGTTTTGTCGAAGCGAGGAGATACACGCGCGCTTTGTTTGTTATAAAGAAAGCTACAACAGGTCGGTAAAAGTACAGCAAAAGACTGATCATTAATTAAATCCTAGAGCACTTTAGACCTAGCAGTTTGGCTCTAGAACATGCTAACTACTTATAGATTTGTTCGAAAGGGTTCCTTACACTCTCAAGTCAAAAAGCGGCGGTAAAAAAATAACGAACAAAATTTTTAGTACCTTGGACGAAGACGCCATCTCGATCGAGAATTCCGCGACATAAACTCTCGCTGCCGGTGCAGGTGGATAATCTCTGTCGGTGCAGCTATAGCAAGTTGGGTTGGCTTTATATTCAGAAGCGACCCTTCGTTCTCCACGTACCACGAAAATGAGTGACAAAAAGTTCTGTAGCACCCTCGCCATGTTGAAGTTCGGACTGAAAAAGAGCGCGAAGCGATGGCAGTTTTAATCCAACTTTCCCGCCAACATGGAAGCTGACCAATCACCGTATTTTAGGTCCTTATTAGGACATCCGGACATCACTTCCTTGATGCAATACAACCTACTTGAATATGTCAAAACATAACCTGAGGCTCTGTTTTTGTTTCGGTTGGTAAATTTTGGCGGGAACGAAGACGAAACGAAGGCGAAACGAAGAGAGAGCACTGAAAATTCTAGCGCGACCAAGTTGGGCTGTTTACATGGAGGGAGGAATTCGAAGATCCTAGTACCAGAAAGGTCTTAGAAGGCGGAACAACCTTACGTTTGGTTTAAATTGAGAAATTTCGGTCCGCCTTTAGTCCGTGTGTTGCCCAAGTAGAGAAGGTTCGAGAAGGAATTAAAAATGGCGGGCGACAGAAACAAAAAATCAATTTGGACCCTTCTGCTCTCTTTACTGGCGTTAATAACTACCTTTCAGCAGAATTATCACAATAATTAGCTCGTGGTAACGCCAAACGAAATGGCCGGCCTTTATTGCCGAGATTAGCCACTGAACAACCCGCCGCCATTTTTATCTTGCTTGTCCCTAGTACTAGGATCTTCCTACCTACCTACCTCCACGTAAAGCTGGGCCCAGAACAAAGATTCATTACACGCCGGGACTAGAAAAATTGCCAAGTGTTCAGGAGCGTGCAGTGTTACGAGACAACGGCCACGCTTAATAGCTTTCTTCAAATAAAATTAATTACAAAAGCAGAGTCAGGAGCCGATGAATAGGCTCCTGGCAGAGTAGTTGACTCTTGGCGGACCTTTTCTGCCTTCTACGAAACGAATTTAAAAACTATCGTGGATAGGCATGGAAATAAGGTAACGCAGTGTGATTCTATTAAGAAAAAAATGTCAGTGTGATCTGCTAGTGTGGTTGGTCGTTTGCATTGACCGCATTGCTCACCAAGGCTGGTTTTAATTTTACTAGCGTTGGACTGATTTGGACTCAATCATATGTGTAAAACGTTATCGCCTAAAACAACTTTCCGATTCCGCTTATGACTCCTTACTGACGATCTCGTAAAAACTAGGTGTCCAGAGTCGGAAGCAAAAGCGGAAGTAACAAACCAATCTCAAAAGGCGGGAACGAGCGCTGTGAAAAGTTGATCCTTCCGCTTCTGCTCCCGACTTTAATTCTCTAGATCGTAATCGATGGATTCATAAGCCCAAGATGGAATTCTGATTTTTTAATACACCACCGATTTTTGATTTTCATCAGGTCATAAGCGCTCTAATGACTCCACGTTTCGTCGCTTGCGAAAACCAGCCTTGAATGCACGCTTTCCCTCTTCCACCCAAGATACGAGCGAACGATTGGTCTGTACATGTACAAGTCTGTAAACCGGCTCTCCAGGTACGCTAAAGTAAAGCGTCTGATGCGAGGAACCAAGAAAAGTAAATTAAAAGCTTTCGTCTTGTCCTTACACATACTTCCCTCAAAACTACACCACAGACGAAAATCATTTCTAGCAGAGAAAAGACCAAACAGCAAGTAGAGACTTATTCCGACCGCAAAGAACAGTATAAAGCATACTCTAACTTAAAGGAGCTGTAGAAAGCGACGTTGAGCAATGTCTTCGTGTTTCCTTGTGTTCATGTTTTCGAGAAAGAGCGGAACCTTGCGACCAACTTTTCTCAGAAAACCGGAAATGCCTCGAACCACATGATGCGTGTCCTTCTCGTTTTCCCATTTTTTTCATGTTTTTATTTTCTCAGGAGTGTCCCTCAGGGGGTCACACATCGCAGAGGCTTCAACGTGAAAGTTTTCACTATTCCCGTTTTACTGTCTTTTTAACGAACTAAACATTACAATTTCAGTGGTTTGCATTTCTTTACAAAGAATAGGTCTTACTACCAGGCGTGCACAGCCGAAACAGTACCAGGTCGCAAATCTAGCCTGCATAGCAAGAGTTTCCAATCGAATTATTGCGCGAAAGTTGGAGCGAGGGAAAGGTGGATACAATAAGGCACTTTTGTGCGCGGGGCCAGGTTCAATACAAAAGAACAACAGTTCTTTAGAGAAGGCAACTACAGTGACCTACAAAACATTTCATAGTCTTGATATTTGCATAAGCAACAGTGTAATATTTTCTTGTTTTGTATTTCATGGACGATTGACAAAAACATTCATGCAGACATCTTTGGATAGGTTTTGATAATAACGCGCCGCGCTTTCAAAAATTCTAAACGCTTTCAGTTTAGAGTTTTCAGTATTTCATTTATTTCTGACTTAAAGGTCTACGAAAGTGGTATTGAAGAATAGTCCTATGAAGGGGAGGGGGGGGGGGGG